CATATTGCGAGTGACATATTCAACCGTCTCATCCTGCATCAAAAATTATATATTTACAACCCAAATATTCATAGATCATCAAATCTGACAAACATGGCCGACATTGATTACATGATGAACACCCGCTATTTAATAATAATAATAATAATAATAATAATAATAAACACCTCAACTTTCTAAGCTCAGTTTGGGCTATGATAATGGTATTTTTACCACTATATTTGCACATTTCAGGTGAGATTTGAGTTTCCTTTAAACAACAAATTTTTTATGTTTTCCTTTCATAATCATACTTAGGCAAATAAAAATTTACTGTTTTAGAATAAAAGAGCATGGAGTTTACTGTTTAGTGGAAAAAGGTTAGAAGGCAAGAAGTTTCATACTTTTGACATGTGCATGAGCTCTTTGGGCCCCATATCACCATGTCCTTCTGCCAATTCTTCACTAACAGCGGCTCGCAGAACAGCTGCTCCAACCTCTGCTGTAATATGACGAATACTGCATTGCACAAGTTGAGTTAAATAAAGATGTTTAGGACCAAAGAATTATGTTTGTGAGTTTTGTGTGTGAGTTGCAACTTGCAACATAAATAACAAATGCCATCAAATAATGGCATACCATGTCTTATGACAGAAAAAAAAAAAAAAACAAAAGGGGTAACTACCATGCTGGACATGTTTCTGGGGTTGGCAACAGATCAGTTGAGGTGCACCACATAGACCTCATCTCAAGTTGTGAATAAAGGTGCAGGGCTAAGATTGTTTTAGGGTTCAATTCTCTCAAATGGACTAATTCAGGAGCAAACCATTAAAAATAGGTAGAAATTCCACTTATAATTAGAACGTAACCACCTATGATGCCATTCACGCACATATCATAATACTATAGTGACTAGGAATATAGCAACTTATTCCATGGTGTAAATCAAATTGTTTTGTGGATAGCACAGTTATACTCTATACCTAACCTGCTAGGTTTTAAGAACTTGGACAATAGGTCTCTATTGAGTTTCTTCAATATATATATATATATATATATATATGTATCCTTTCTACAAAGAAAGCATAGATTACCTATCAATAGATGGGTACAGAAGGCCCTTTTGAACCTCTTCATCTGTCATATAAGATGCAAGGCTGCACAGATAGCATGATGTTTACAACTTCAGTTAGTAAAACAAATCTCCCACCTACCTCATATCTTGAGTGAAAGAAGGCAGAAACATAAATACAATTCTCGTAACCATACCATTCAGCGGCTGCTTGCAACATTCCATCTGTTATAAAATGAGCACCTGAGAGCAGCGTTCCTAGACCAATGCTGGATTGGAAGCAACAACGTGTAAATTAACATAGTCAAAATCTAAGCAAGGCTAACCAAACAACAACAAAAATGAAGAAGGAATAGAAGACCAACCCAGGGAACAGGTACATGTTATTCGCTTGATTTACATGGCCTACTTTACCATTGCCTGCCAGCAAGCAAATAATGGTTTATGATATGATAATTAATCAGACTTACAAATCCACTGGCCAGGACATAGCCAGCAGTGACCTTTTTCTGAAGGAAAAAAGCACCAAATACTCGCAGATGATGCAAGCGCTTTCTAACAGGAAGAACTTCAAATAAGAGGGAAGATACCTAGATCAACATGTTGAAAAGGGCTTCCACTTGCAAAGACTATGTTTTCTCCAGCATGTTTAAATGCATCAGCAGCAGTGCATTCAGCTGTCTCACAGGTAATGCATGCAAAGATAGCATTAGTAGGTGCCATAAAAATTGATGCTAAATGATTGGCAGAAAAACAAACCATTCAAGGTGGGATTTGACATGGCAAAAATTGCAGGTTTCGTTGAATCAGATTCGTGCATGGCCTTCAGCACCTATTTTTTTCAATGGTAACTGACACTTATGAGAAACTCAATAAGATCAAAATGCAAATGGTGATTAACATTACAGTAATCTCAGAGATTAATTGAGGACAAGTTGAGGTAAATCCATTTAACCTCAAGGAATCACACTAATCAATACATACACAAGTTGTCTAGATCTCAATTACATCAACTTATGCATGAATTGAAACAGAGGCATGTGCACTGCAAAATTAATAAACTTATATATTGGTTCAATAATGGTTTAAAGTGTGGGAGATTGCAAGAACGAAGCAAAGATCACTACACTAGAAAATATTCATGGGCATATGATGAGACTCATCATTACAAAGGAGCCATGTAGGCAACTATCACCCAATGGCTCACCAGATCAAAAAGTTGCAAAAACACATATTTTAGAAGTTATTATTAAATTCACTAGTTTTATCTACTAACTAGGATTTAATAAAAATTAGCGAAAATGCATCAAAATGAAATTGAGAATGTATGCACCTCCTCACTGAAGATGCCACCCACTCCAGACAGACCAAGCAGCACATGGGGCTTGACCTTTTTAACCTGAAAAAATTAGTAATCTCAGAAATCAGAATTCTTTGTTTGCACAAGGGCACATGAGATCTCAAAGATTATAACAATGATGGAACAACATCGCAGTTAAACTCTTTCTTCCCAATTGCTTAGACCCATGAAACTTACCACTTCAAGCAAAGTAGCACCCTCTCCAAGGCCCATGGTCTCTCCTGGATTCTTAGCAAATGGTGCTGCTGCTGGATCAAGGTTCTTCCTTTCTTTAGTAATGAGACCCTGTACCCGTGACACAAATTTAACAGATGAGGCTATGAGTAACTGAAATCACACATTCCCACAGCCAAAGTTCACATGAATAGAAGAAAATCAATGGATGATATAGAACAATTACAATATTTCAAAGTAATTTTCTCTATTCTTTTGGCATAATCATCCAAGCATTATTATTAATCAATGGGACAAACCAACTAGATACCATAAAGAACTTTGGGGAGGATGCGTAAAGGAAAATAGAAAAACTGCTAAAGTTGAAAAGCTGAGAATGATACATCTTTATCAATTAGGAAAAAATTGCGTGCAGCTGTTTCACCATTGCCTGTCATCCGTGTAACAGCCTCCACAGCCATTTTAAGAACACCTAACCCTGCACTGGAAGCCAGACAAACCGACTGAGATGAAAGAGAAAGCTGCAAGAATGAGCATAGAGGAACATTAAAAGTGCTAAATTTAAGGTATAAACTTGTTATAATTGAATGTTGTAGGTACCTCCCAGCTCCCACAACAACTATCTTTTGGTTGGCAAAGTCAGCCAACGGTCGACCTTGTGCTCTAACAGTTCCCAATAATCCCGCAAGTGCAACGCCAGCAGTCCCCTATCACACATTAAGCAAGGAGAAGCATTCTAGAAGTAAACATTTTCATCTCTTTCGGTCCATAAATATAGAAAATGTTTCACCAAGAACTAACCTGTATGTCATCATTGAACATGGAAAACCTTTTTCGATAGCGTTGCAGAGTTTCAAAGGCCCACTTCATTTGAAAATCCTCAAACTGCATTGGCAACCATTAAATTAACAAGATGATACACATAAGTCTTAACACATAAAGTCCTAATTCTGAAAGAAACAGACCTGTACAATAGCCTTGGGCCAACGGTTGAAAACTGCTTCCATGAATTCATCAATAATTGACAAATATTCTTCACCTTCCAATCTAGGCTGTCTAAGCCCTAAATCTGTGAGCCAAAAATATGTCAAAAGGTATCTTCACAAACTGTTCACAGAAAGAAGATCTAAAAGGCATATCATAACTGACTCTTTACAGAGGAAACAATCCATAAAGAACAAAATAATGGAAAACACATTTTACTCACAAAGCCGGTCTTCAAGTAGCTTTTGATTGTTAGTACCAACATCTAGCATAACTGGGAGTATCTGTCAGAGACAGATATTGATTGAATAATTAAAGTGATTAACAGAAAAGGACCATAGCAAGAAAACAGCTGCAGTGAAGAGTCGCAAAAGAATTATAGAAAAAAAAAAATCAAACATTTGAACAAAATAGAATCCAAGCAACCACAAATTCATAAACATACTATCATCAGATCATTTACAAATATAAATGTGCATGAATATGAAAAATATAACCAATAGTTTAAGTCTATCTTAAAGATCCAAAACAATAAATATTTTCATGTCCAAGTCCCAGTAAAAGACTGAAGCATAATTATGCAAACTGTGGACAGATACATGCATTGTTCATGCACAAAAACTGTATATGCACACTAGAGGAGAATAGAGAAAGGGAGGTTAGCTCATACTCGTTGTGGATTGATACCAGCAGCAGCAACATACATATCAAGTTTTCCAATAGGTATTCCAATTCCCTGAACTCCAAGATCACCAAGGCCAAGAATACGACTTCCATCTGTGATAACTATCATGTCTACCTACAAGGAAAAAGGGAAAGCATCATAACCATCAGTCAGGAAAGGGACCTGAATGGAATCAAATATTGCATTTTCTGAATTAAAGATGACTCAACTTATTGAAAAAGCATTCCTTCACGGCATTAAAATATAAATTTAATCTAGGTATACTGAAGAGAGTTGAACATGTTTTATAAAGATATTTCACCAACAAAACCCTTTGGAAAGAGCTGAGGAAGCTTTTAGAAAGAATGAAGCACACATATCAAAAGATTTCATACCCAACGTTGAAAGATCAGAAAGCTTCGTTAAAAAAGCCAAATAAACTCTGGTCAAAGCCACTTTTGCATTTCGGAATGTAACTAAAAATTGTATCTTAGGAAATTCACTGTTGCTAATGTCTGTCAATTTTAATAACTAAACTGAAATAATAAGAAAAATGCGTTGGTAAACTAAACTCCTATTTCTTCTCCATCGCCTATATCCAGTCCATAGAAACCTTAATATCTATTTTTATTTAAAGTGGAACAAAAGAAGGAAGTTGGCATGCATCCTGCAGTTCCCTTGCAAGATTAAAATCTTTACCTGGTGTGCTGGCCAGTTATAGATCATAGATATCATCTCTCCCTTATCCCTTGCACTGAAATACATCCCACGTGGGCGTCTAAATAAGCCAGAGTAATTTTGGCAAACTAATCCAACAGTAGGAGTGTATATTACTGGAGCAAAATCTTTGATGTTATCCATAAGAACCTAAGAGTAAAAAGGAAGGCAGGAAAATTTCAGATGATTCCAAACTTAAAAAAGGGCATATAAACACTAGAAGCTAATTAAGGAGAATTCTGCATCAAACTTACCCTGTAATATAATGTTTCATTCCTGTCATGCAATCTATTCAAGATCCTCCATTTTGCTAATGCAACAAAATTATCTGGGTGACCCTGAGTATTTTTCTCCAGTGACCGGTACGATTCCACTACAAATTAAACAACATGGGAATATAAAGAGTTTCTCAGAGACCCAATTGCATCAGAAGACTAATAACACTGCTGAAGGGTAGTATTAGACTCACTAAAACGAGCATATTGCTGCTCAAATGATATCACACGAGGTGGAAGAAGGCCACGGAGACCTAATCTATCTCTTTCTGTCAAAGGAAATCCAGTATCCTGCACTTGCAAAATCCAGCCAAAAAAAAAGAAAATAACATCACCCACAATTTGATTCTTAAGACAAAATTCAACCACAATTACAACAGACGATAACTTTAACTATACAACAGCAGAAATCTTGGCCGAGCAACCTCCTGGTGTTGGATCAAAGCAAGATGGTAGTTTCCAGAGTAGAAATGAATCGAGTGTTTATTTAAGCAAAACCGACTAACCTTGTTGAACCAGGGATCGTGAAGAATGTCGGCACCGCGCTTGTGCACAATACATGGACCAGGAATCGCCGTCGAGAACCGCCTAGATCGGCGGCTGAGACTCAACACCACAAATCGGGTCAGATTCCACATTCGGAGACCTAGAACTCAAAGATCCAAAGCAACAAACCAGGAACTAGAAAAAATAAATAAATAAATAAATAGGAAAAAAGAACAAGACTCGTTCAAATCCACTTCCTCAACAATCGTCCATTTTCTAGGATTTCATCCAACATTTTTTTCCCGAGAAAATTGAAGCAAAGATGCAGATGTTCAAGCTCGACTTTATAGTCCAACTTTAGAGTCCACGTTGATGAAAACGGTTAAAAGGAAGAGTAGTTCCAGCTGCCCGGGGTTAGGCGGGTAGCGGGAGAAGAAGTCGAGGTAGAAGAGACAGGGTTGCCCGGGGGATACCAGGGCAGTGTGGATGGGGGCCACCACGTGGACGGTAGTAACTAAGGAGGGAGGAGACCGGAGTTGAGGAAACATGAAGTTTCCCCTACTGATTTCTGCCACGTATTTACACGTGGAAAATTGTGGAAATTTGTGGGCTCCATGACTCCGTTGATAGTGAATTATGAGAATTTCTGTCCGCACATTGCATTATTGGGTTGGTACGATTGATTTGTATTAAAATTTTAAAAAAAAAAAAACGACTTTAATTTTATTATTTATTTAACTTAATCAAAATAATAATAATAAATGAGACCAAATTTAAAATAATAAGGGGACGTAACGTAAGTTATATTATTATATTATTTAAAATATTAAAAAATAAATTTTATATTATTTAATAATTTAACTCTATTTAAATTTTTAAAATTTTATGATATTATTTATATATCAATTAATTTACTAATGTAATATACACTGTATCATTAGTCTAAATTTTCATTCTCTCTACCATTATGCAATTAAAAATAACACATATTGACTATGATATAATAAGTCAACATATGTAATTTGTTATAAAAATTAAATATAAAGAATATAATTAATACGAACGGTCCACTCCGATCCAGTGGTATCGGACCCTGAGTTAGAACTGTTCACCTCCGTGGGTTGCACGTTCGAACTCTACAGAATCCTTTTCTCCCGTCCCCCAATCAACTCTGTAAATAATTATAAATTGTTCAAAAAAAAATAAATATAATTAATACACTTTTAATCAATTAAATTAGGCAAACTTATTAATTATTAATTTAATTATTCCTTTATCCCTTGTAAACTGATTACGATTTACGTAGTGGACTAGTAGTGGCATTCTTTGAACGGAATAAGAATGTAATTGGAATGCAGAGGAGAAATCTATTCCTCCTCACTGTACTGGAATAATAAAATCCTTCCCCTAAGGGTTAGCTTCGTGTGGTGAATGTTGAGCTACGTTTCGAGTCAATAGTTGCCGAATTATATACTTTCAAAACCGCGTCAATTAAGTGTAAAAAAAAGGGAACATATTCCATAAATCAGGTTCAACCAAATTGTTCAATCCAATGTATACTGCTACCTGGAATTATGCTTTTTTCTGCAACTCCGGTGCAAACGGGCTGCGGCAAATCAAGAGTGCCGATTCTCGTTATCAATAATCTTTATTCTCCTGCTTTATAAAGAATTGATCTGGTGGTGGTCATAGGGGCATGTTCTGGATCAGCAACTTTTGCCACCCTTCATGCCCCCACTACTCATCAACAGCATATTACCATCTAGTTGACGTCAATTGGGACACACTTCTAGAGAGATTTCAAACCAATTTTGTGTGTAACAACATGCTGTGGCAACTGTTACCTCTTACTAATTATTTTCTTTTTTATATTAACCTTCCGGTATCCGATAATCATTTTAAGTCCTTACTAATCCAGAATCAAGGCCGATCAAACCTCATTAGAGAAAAAATTCTCCCAGCACATGTTTCTCCATTTACAAGACTCGAACTTGAAACCTTATTTAAGAAGAACCAAACTCCATCCACTCGATCCAATAGGTCGTTGGTGTTACCTCTTACTAATCATTCCATCACACAAATTTCAAGTTCTGAAACTTTGAAGTAAGTTAACAATTAGAGATGATCAGAGCACAAGCATCACCATATGTATGCAACTTCCAGAAAAGTAACGGTTTTAGCATTTTCTTCAATGACTTATTGATGATATGACCATAATATCATAGGTTCAGATAATAGGAAACATTACAAGAGCATGTCTTGAAAGGAGACTCAAATTCACTTCAACCAACAATACAAATATACCAAACCTACATTTCCAGAGATCAGTTGTAATCAACCAATATTGGTACCTAACAGCCCTGGACAGCTAAGTAGCTAGTAGTCTTTGTTTCCAAAATTCTTGCACCAGAGCTGTGAAGGAATTGGGCGAACAGGTTGATGAGGCCGTTGCTGCAAGAAAGCAACAGATTTAGCTATTCATCATGGTCACTCAATGCAAGCCATGGAGATGCACAAATGAAATTGCATCTATTATCTACAAGTTAATACAAATATGTTCTCCTCAAGCTAATCAAGGCATAGATGGGATGATAAAGTTTCTATCATGTCATGTCTTTCTCCGACAGGACAGGGCTTTCAATATTTGACATATCTTAGACAATCTGTTAATTATTATAGTAAGAACAAAATAGAGAAGTTACACCCCCTTAGAATTATTCCATTCTTCTTCTTTTGGAAGTTAAGCTACACAACGCATCTTATCTCTAATTGAATAGACTAAACGATTAAAGTGACAAAGAAAGAGCATTAGTTATGTCTCTGCTCACTACAGTTTTTACTTAGAAAACACTCAGGATAACAAATAAAAGTATATTTATCAGAGTTTTTGGCTATTGTGGAATGAGACCCTCATAAATAATTTCACAGAAGAACAACGACAGAATGATCACGTAGATACTAGATACCCAGTGTTAAAGTCAAGGAATCTAATCAACGATGATGTTCTATTTTTATATCTCATTGCTGAACTGTATTCAAATTTAAACTTTTACCTACAATTTAAGTACCTAATTCAGCCATTGCACTAAACAGATGCAACAAAAACAAATTTCCGTATGTGATTCATAAGAAATTCAGGTTATCATCTCTCACAGAAATATAAGAGGCCAATCCGGAAGTAATAAGCAAAAATATCATGAGATGTCGAATTGAAAATTTTGCTTAGGCTCCTTAATAGTTAAAAATCCGTTACTAGGGTTCAAGTTCACAAAACATGATGTTGTAATCAGCTAAATGCACAATATGTTGCAGATCAGCTAGGTTTTCAGAGAGCATAAACAGAGTCCTGAAGAGTGGGGGAAAACAGACCTCGAGCTCGGCAGATTTCATTGCAATAGGGATGCAAATTAGGAAGACACCAAACATGGCAATGGCGGTGTTGCGACGCCAGTGCTTGGGTCGGCAGTTCGGACCACCACTCATGCTCCACACCTTTGTCCTGAAATCCTCGGCTCCGTGTCCATGTTCTCCTCCTCCTCCTCCTCCCATCTCTGTTAATTTACTCGATCGAACGACTGCAACGAAAGGTTTTCAGATCAGGAAAAACACGAAAAGAAAATCCAATCAAACAAAACCCTAATCAGCCGATCGTATCTAATCTATGCATCAATTTACAACAGAAATTGAAATTTCGATTCGGTAGATTGATGCGAGTAAGATTAATGGCGATGCTTACCTGAGAAAAACGGCGAGATCAGGATTACGAGCTGTGTTTGCGAATGGAGAATGCGACTGAGCTCTGCCCTGGTGTACTTGACCTTGATGGAGTTTCTTTTTTTTGATAGTTGAGGATGATTTTTTTTTTTACTGCAGGATGCCCGTTGGGCTTCGAGGCCCATCTTTTTTACCCAATGTTTAGGGCTTGATTTAGGCCTATCTATGAAGTGGGTCCCAAACAAGACCACTAAGCCCAATCATAAAACCCGTCCTCCAAAGTCCATTTTATTCCCTCACATTAAAAAAAATAAAGAAGAAGAGAGAGAGAAGAGAATCAGCAACAAATTGTTTGAATGAAAATTATGAAATTTGCTAAAATTTTCCTTGGCAAAACACTTTTATTAAAAATAATAATTACTGTAGAAGTATAACAATGTAAAAATAGTTTCTTAAATTGTAATAGTTTACATTTCAAATACAAGTAAAATGCCACAGAATAATTTGCAATAACTGAATTCCTAGAACATATTGCTGAGGTGTTACAAAGCAGAGAATAGGAAAACGGCAATATCATCATAACATCAAGAACTAGCTTCAGCATCAAGTGTAAGTCTAACACCATCTTTAAATGGAGTTGGGGAAATCTTCAGTGTCTGAACCAGTTTAGTGACATCCATAGATATGTCTGCAGGGGACCTGACACCTCGGTCAACCTGAAAAACCAAAATATTATTCAGGTTACAGAAGCAACACACAGATCAAGAAAACAATTTATCTAGAGGGACAGAGTGGAGTAGGGGAGGGAATACAGCAAAGTATTCAAGGTAATGGCATTGATCAATTTGAGATTTACAGGACATCTGTACCATATTCAGAGTAGCTCTAAAAATCAATAGTATGGAAAAACCATGCAATGAACGGGAATAAACTCACAACACATGCATGGAAGAATTTTCTTGAGTTATAGGATTTTGAAAGGCATACGTACAGATGATGCAGAGACTGTATTGATTAATGAGGTATCGTATCCTCTAATTTGGGCCACTGCCTCAGCCATTTGAACTCGGGACACCCTGTCTGGTCCACCAACATTCAGCAGTACCTGCATTTTCTTACCCTCTTGGGAAGCAACACAATATTAGAATACTCAGTTCAGATTAGAAGCAATGAGTGCAACAGAAAGTAAAGGGAAAAAAAAATTGCTATTCCTTCATTAGTGAAAGTCATTTCTAATAAACTATCAGCCATGTTGAAAAGAACATAAGGTAATTTTGATCGAATCACATTCTATTTCATTCTTTCATCAAAAACTTACTTGCCATCAATGTAGAACCAAACACAATTTGAAAGCAGTATTACATAATCTATGAATTGCCATCCTTGTTGTCTATAGACTCTATACATAAACAAGATAACAAATTCATACCAGATAACCATCTGTCAACCAAAGCCAGGATGATGGTCACTACGTCTTTCACAGACACCGGGCAGCGATACTCGTCATCAAAAAAGTCCACTTTATCCCCTTTAGAGAGCACACTGTCAATCCACTGCATCAATGTGTGAAGAAACAATACAAGAAGCAAACATTTATGATTATTCAAGTAGATTATCACTTATAACACAGTCATTAGCCAAAGAAGTTTCACAATGCAATCATAATATAGAAATAGCTACCTGAATTGGCAGAGACTTTGGAACAGGGGAGACAGTTTGTGGCCCAAATATGATACTGCTTCTAAGAATAGCATAATTAGAGCATTTTTCCGAGATAAACTTCTCCGCTGCAACTTTTGATTGCCCATAAACATTCACTGGGACGGCATCATCTTCTTCCTTGTAGAAGGATTTCACCCCTTCATAAACTGAAGCAACAATCCATAGGGTCAGGAACAACGCAATCACATGAATAAAAAAGATACTCTTTTTTTTTTTTTTTTCATTGTGGACTTACCTCAAACAATTAGGATTCATTAATGAGGGAGAACAAAATTTCAAAAGAATCACGACTCAACATACCCTGATCCGTTGAGAGATGGATAAGAAGGGTATCATTAGACTCGGTAAAGCTGGATAACCAATTGACGAGAGAAGAAGGCACATTGATCGCCATAGCAGCATCTGGATCCTTTTCGCACGCCCGGGGCACAGACAAAGCAGCGCAATTCACCACAACATCAGGCTGCCATTTCCATAAACATTATATCGCTCAGCACAAATCAAACTTCATCGATAGAATTAGATCAATGAGAAAGGTGGGTAAAATAAAAAACCTGGCCAAATCGCTCTGAAACCGTTTCAAACCCATCCCCAGTTTTCAAATCGACATGAAAGGCAATGGAGTGAGGAAACGCCTGGAACAATGCCTGAGGAGGAAAGGAGTGGTGGGTGAATGCAATGTCGTAGAGTGTCCCTTCAATCTCTGAAATTCCTTGCAGAAGGTGCTGGCCCAAGTAGCCAGTACCTCCGACGACCAACACTCTCTTCTTGCCCATCTCTCTTTTACCGGGATTAGTGTTGAAGAAAAGAAAAGAAAGAAAGAGGATTTAGATCCAGAAGCTTCTTAATGGATCTGGGTCTGTTTAAGAAGCTTCCTATAGCGTTGGCCTCCAACTCCCACCGTGGTATCGTATTCTCGGGGGAGAACAAAGGAAGTTGCCGCCGTCGTGCGTCGTTCTCAGTCCATCGGCATCGACCGCGACGTCGCATCGCACGTGGCTCAAAATCTGAAATCAGAGATGAGAGTAGAATTTCACGTGATGGGCCGGATGGTAGAACTCTGGGCCAGCGAAACCCAGAACCCATATCCAGATAGAATAAATTACCCACCAAATGACAACGGCCCGATTTCCTATATAGGCCGAAAAGAAAGGCCCAAATCGAGAAAGAGTTGCGGCGAACTAAAGGAACAGAGACCGAAATTAGGGTTTCTATTTTGCCCATCCGTTGCGCTATAAATATCCGCCATTTTGTTCCCTTACCCAACCCGTCCAATCCCATCCCGTACCATCCCATCTCTGCTCTGTAAAGTTCCGGTCGTCTCCTCCAGTGTCGTCCGTATTTTCTCTCTGATTTTTGTTGTTACGTTTCCCCTTCCTCTCTCTTCTATTCTCTATAATCTGAATTAATCTGAATTGTTGCGTTGGTTTGGGTACTGGTAATAGTATTTGTGTGTGTGTGTGTTTGGGTAGTATTGAAAGAGGAATCGAATGATGAGGAAAAAAAACTGCAACAAAATGATATGGATTAATTTCGTGATTACTTGTATTTAAGTCTCTGACGATTTCCTCTTCTTCTTCTACATCTCAGATTTAGTTTTTTTTTTTTTTTTTTAAAAAAAAAGAAGTTTATTCAGATTTAATCATTCTCTTTTTTGCTTTTTTTTTTTTTAATTTATTTTGGTTTTTGGTTGTTGAATGGTTGAGAATGGAGAGATATGATGAAATATATAAATTGGTCCGTGTTTCTGAACTTAACCGTGACCGATAACTTTTACCACTTTCTGATCTCTCCAAATTTAGTTCTTTTTTTTTTAGCATTTTAGGCGGCGGCCTGGTTCCTTTCTGTTTTTAAATTTTAATCGCAATTAAAACATCCCATGTTTAGCAGCTAAAAACCAAATGGCATGAGTAGTCCACCAGCAAGCCTTCAATCCTCCTCACGTCTCTTATGGGCATTTCAATCATAATTTTGATAAATGTAATTATCATAAATTTAATAAATAAATTTTGAGACTAGAGGTGGAGTCGTTGATAGATACATTGGCTTAATAGTTGAGCCTTTTGCTTCTCTAAAATGATTGAGATCCAAATCGTAATTGGAAAATCGAAAATTAAAAACGCGTGTAATTGCACTTCAACGGAATCAAGAGATGAAAAATTGCAAATCACAATATCAATTTTACATTTTTTTAAATTTAAAGATATTAATTTTGTTGTTTTTTAAATTATTAAATTTTTTATTTAAAAATATTAATTTTTATTTTTTTCTATTTAAAAATATTATATTTGGTTAAAACCTCATTTTGGTCCTTCAACTATTGTACGAACTTTTGATTTAGTCTTTCAACTCAAAAAGTCCATGTTTTAATCCTTACTATTTATCATTTTAATTCCAATTTAATCTCTTCGTCAAAAATCCACCTAGTGTTAATGCCAATACTACCGTTATTGAAAATTAATTTTATAATTAATTTTACATGTTATCCTTTTTGTCAACTAACGGGGACACATAAGTGGATTTTTTACGAAAGGACTAAGTTAGGATTAAAACGGTAAACAGTGAAAACTAAAATAGAAATTTTTTAAATTGAGAGACTAAATTAGGGATTCGTACAATAGTTGAGGGACCCAAATAAGATTTTAACCTTTTGTTTAAAAATTAATTAAATGGTAATGTTAATATGAAAAATATAACTTTTAATTAAAATATTAAAAGGTGATATTTTATCGAAAAAAAATTAAAAATTAATATTTTTAATAAAAAATTAATATTAATATTTTTAATAAAAAATTAATATTAATATTTTTAAATAAAAAATTAATATTAATATTTTTAAATAAAAAAATATATAATTAACATTTTTATTTACACATTTTATCCAAAAGACAAGGTTTAAAGCTTAAGCAACGAACACGGATGAAAAAGGTCCTGCAAGGAGTTCGTTTAAAAGTTGGATGTGTAGTTTTTAATTTGTAAATTTTCTTATTACAAAATTTAAAATTTGTTAGACAAATACTTTACTAAAAAACAATTGTAAATTTTCCTGGAGTGAACTTTTAGATTTAAGGAATGGATAGGGGATCAAAATTAGACAAAAATTTAGATTTAATAACATTACATAAGTTATATTATTAAATTAATTGATGTATATAATATTATAAATTAAAAAAATAATTATTAAATAATATAAAATTTACTTTTTAATAATTTAAATAAGATAACTTATATCATGTTATTAGTTTTAAATTTTAATCTTAAATTTTTATCTCATTTATCATTATTTTTTAAATTTATGAGACAAAAATTTATTATTAACAACTTATTAATTTAAATAGAAGAAACTTAATTTCTCTTTAATTAAAATTTTAAATTTGAATCTTATAAATAAAAACATAAATTTTAGAAGAGCAAATTAACTCTAAATTAATCGAAATTCAATGTGACATACATTATTTTTTTTTAGTAAAAAATGAGACAAAAATTTATTTAAAAACAAATTTACCCTTTTTTTTTTACTGCTCTAAAGTTGCATTCACATTGGCGTGAATGAATTCATCATCATCTGAAACTTTAAAACTTTTCTTAAGTACTAATATCAAAAGATTCAAAACTTAAAAGATTAAACCTAAACAAAACTTATAAATGGAACCAACAACATATTAGTTCAAGTGAAAGAAACTCTATTCACCTAAAACAAGATTTTGAATTCGAGTTTTATGAATCAAAAAATAAACATTGAGAAAATTTTCTTTTTGTAAAGTCTGATACGATTCGATTTTAAATAAGTTGAATTTATGATTATCAGATATCATAAAGTTAATAAAATAAAAAAGGATAAAAAACTTAAAAACCGAAGAAGAATGCTAAGTACTTGAATAGAAAGTTTATGAAATGGTAAATCAAATAATCTGCGGAGGACGTCCTCCCAATATATAAATATAACGGCAAATTATATTTTTCCCGAGCACTGCCAACTGTCTTGTTTCATTAATCAACTGAAGAGGGAGGCTTTAAACGACGACGTTCAACATCACCCAAGATTGTCGCCAGGTCAAAATGCCCGGTGAAAAAGGAGAAAGCCTACTCTATCACCGGCAGAGGAGGAGAAGAGACAGCGAACTGAGCGAAGTGCAGGGAGAAAAGGGAGCATTGGAGAAGAGAGAACATAAAAGTTCAACGGTGTTAATAATTTTCCGGTTGCATGTCATGAGTTGGCTATGATTTGGCAAGAGCCAAGAGGTGATTACCTGGCATTTTGTTATTGGACCGGGATATGGTAGACTTTCTCGTAAAAGAGACTTCGGGTACCTTACAAAACTCATGTTTCC